GATGACCCAATAGAATTTGCACACCTTGTCATCACCAAGACAGTGAGAGATTTGTCACTTTCTCTTTCTGAGTACATAGATTTGGTTTTAATCGTTTGGTGGCGACTGTCAAAACGAAATGTGACAAACTATGTTTCAAGTGTCTGTTGGTTATTTTGAAAGCCTTTAGATTGTTGACAATATGACCAGTGTCCGATAGATGACTCCGAATCTGCCTGTTTTATGCATATGGGTCCTTTAGTTTCAGGTTCTTTGTTGTGTGTGTTGAGAATTGCTGACAGTAACCCCCTCTCTGTCCTTCCAGTGTATGTACTTCGTCACGTACATGTGAATTGGTAGATACAGTTGAAGGGGCTCACATGAGGTAGGAGTTTGTCCACTTATGACTGGTCATTTGTTAAACGCATTTCAGCTTGACTGTGAGAGATGTTGTTTTTAGGACAGCGTTCAGTCTGCATCTTATTCTGTTAGCAAGGCAAGCTGTAGAAAGATAGGCTCTCTGTCTATTATGAAGCAATTAAGTTTTTTAATAGTACGTTTCCTATATTTATCGGTAGACATCATAGTACACCAAGGTGAGTTACTTTCAGTATATTAAAAAGATTTGTACCTTACAGAGATTAGTTAGACTAGAGGAAAAACAGAAACTTAAATTAAGAAGTCGTCAGTGAATCTTCTATGTATCTGATTAGCTTCATTCTACTCTACTATAGAGGTTGCCGTGTAAACATTCTAACATTTTGGAGGAGTGGAATAAAGAAGACTAGGAGAAGAAAAACTTAGTTATGTCAGCTTATATTTCCTCCTTTTACTTTCCCATTTGTGCGCACATATCGCAACTGTTTAAATAAACAAAAAAAACAGGCAAATAGTTCGGTGAAAAGGCACTTCTAGACGAATTCATTTTCTGCTTTAGTCATACAAGCGCATTTGCTGTACAATAATTGCTACAAACGACGACTAACAAAAGTGACGACTTGTCATAATCATAGTTATTAATATTAATCAATGCATAAGAAGAGCTGAATAAGTGTATTAGAGTTACGTGATAAGATGAATAATTCTAATGAATGAGTTGTGCGCAGGATGAACGCAGAAAAGAAGAATGTGATATTACGTAGGATATAGGAGGAAATACAAGGACTATATGGAGTTATAAAACAAAATAGATCAAGTTAGTAGAAAACAACAAATTTTGTACAATGATAGTAGAATTGGTTGAATAATTTTCTTTCGTACCTACAGATCTCCCCTTTCTTCACCTGAGTGACTAAAGGGAGACTTAACATGCTCTATCCCTGAGAGAAAATTTTTATCATCTTTGAGGACATTATTCTCAGTAAAGCTAAAATTAGTGTTCTCAAGTTGTCCACTGGTCTACAAAAGCCTGAACGACAAGATCTGACATCTAACCTCTTCTGTGAACATAAATCAGTTCATCTGTTCCTGTGATTTCACGTTTATTGGTCGTTTGACACATATTCTGTGTAGTAGTGGTTTTATGAGGAATGCAATGACTGGATACCTTGTAAATACTAATCATTCTACCTCAACAAACTTATGCTACTAACGAATTCGCAAAGTGAATAGCAACCTACCAAGAACAGTGGGCTTTGGTCTCCTTTGCAGTTCTGAATCTCTAGTCATTCAAACAGAGAAACTGGAGCTCTACATACAAAAGAAAATCACTCAACCACTTCTACTTTCATTGTAACAACTGACTGATATTGACAACTGGGATTGTGACAACTCATTGCTTTTCTCGCTACTGTTTTTGTGTGTGTGTGTGTGTGTGTGGTAATAATTGTATGTAAATGTGATTGTACAGGTAATTGTGGAAACTTCATGAACTCTCTTACAAATTGCCGCGCCTGGGCAGCAATGATTCGAGACGTTCATGAAGCCGGCTCATCCTCCCGTAGGAGATAGCCGAAGTAAAGTAAAAGTAATTGTGGAAAATGAATTCACCTAGGATAGCCTCTTCGCTAATGCTTGGATAAGGGATTAGTTATAAAATGAAACGTAACAAGAGCTTGTTTAAATTGTAGCTTTCGTTTCTGATGATGCTTTTTTTTCATTTATTTATTGTAAAAGTGTTTTTGAAACCTGCATAACTACAATGGTCTAAAATTCTTCTAGTTTAAGAATGCATTTAAGTATATATAATTTATCTACACCTTCACTTTGCTGTATAACTCTTTTTTGTTTAACTAACACACGTTGTGTGTGTTAACCTCTGATAATTTTTTATTAAGAATGTGATTACATTGTTTTACAACGTGTTATTATTATTATTATTCTGTAAGCATAATAAGGCTCTAAAAGTGATTCAGTATCAGAGCTGAGGTTATTGACAATTTGTGCGGAAAACTATTTGTGTCAGTAAAAGAGAGTGGTCATATGAAATAAAAGTGCAGACAACCGGTATTCCTTTCATTGCAAAGAGAATGAGTGGAAACATTGACAAGTCAGTTCTTAATTTAAAGTAGATTTGATATTTCAAATTGAAAGTTGTTGTCTCCTTTGAAGTAGCATTAGCATGACTATACTACCTACAATAAATAGACGAGGCTGTGAAATTACATCGACTGAGATGGTCAGGACATGTGTTACGTATGCCTAGTCATCGCCTTCCTCGACTGACGGGCCATGTTAGCTGATATAGGGTCAGTCTGGAAAAGAGCTAATGGTGGTCAAACCAAAACATGCCTTTATCAGTCAGTGAAATCCACAACAGTAAGCTTAAGCCAGCCACGTAGAGGTAGGTGTAGACTTCCTGGTTGGGACGGTAAAATCCAATGGTTGGAAACAATTGGTGATATGGCTCAAAATCGTTCTCAATGGCTAGTGCAGATGCATCCTCTCCTTGTGACTTATGATTTCCAATGAAAATGTATTTTTTTCGATATTGCTATTCTTTTTGCCTCATATCTCTGTTTACTGTCTCTATTTCGCGTTTCTTTTTACTTTCTTCTTCTTCTCCGGCTTTGTGTGCTGAGTGAAGTGTGACGACTGGAACTGTTGCACATCGATGCAAAATTCTATGTTGAAAACAAACAGCCTACTTTTTACTAGCTAGCTGGTTTTCCAGGCACTTCCAAACTCGGGAAATTAGGGAAGGTTGGTTGTGTGGGGCATCAGAAATGTATTCAGTAAACGCTACGAAGTATAAATAAAGAAATACTATGAAAAACTGTAGACACTAATTCGATTACTATTATAATTATTATTTTATTCTTTTGGTTTCCAAGTGGAACATAGGGCTTCAACAATATACACCTCCACTTTGTTGTATTCTCTGCCATCCTCTTCAGCTAGCTGGCCACACGTTTGCTCATAATCTCTCATCTCCTCCATGTGACCCTCAGACGACCCACTCGTCGCTTCCTATCTGGATTCCATCCAACTGCCTGGCGCATTATGTCATTCAATGCCCTCCTCAACGTATGCCCTCTGCATCTTCATTTTCTCCTACATATTTGTTGAGCCTGTTGGTTTGTTCCTAGCCAGAGTTTGCTGTTGCTAATTCTCTCTGGTCTGCCATTTGGTCTTCAGTATGCAGCCAGCCAGCGAAGGCGACCGTTGATAAAAGTCTGTTAGAAATCCTTTTCGCGATAGGCTGGTCACGTTTTTGATCCGTACAGAAAAACTGTGTTGAAAATTCAATTGTTGTTCTTTATGCTGGCTGAATGCGAAAGATTTCTTAACTGATTTCTTCTGGTTGGTGAAGGTGTATCTTTCCTTCCCGATTCTGACTTTGGCATCTTCATCCGTTCTGTCGCCAGTGGTTGAAACCTTGCTTCCTGGATAAGTGAACGTTGATGGTGATTAGTACTCGTTGTCGTTGTTGATGTTGGTTGGTTATCTTCATCACTTTCGTTTTCCCTGTGTTCACCAAGAGTCCTGTCTTCTCTGCCTCCCCACCCCCCCGCTCTTCAGCCAGTCTTCTTGTTTACACCTTCAAGTCTTCGATTTCGATTGAAAGAAAGCAAAATACCGGAGAATTTACAGTATTTTGACTTTCATATCGATCAGCGATCAGTAGACTTATTATAAACTCACGTAAGCTATTCAAAGCAATAAAACAAGAAATAACAATAAAGTTCTAGGTCATACATACATTGGCAGAATAACTATTGAAAATAAAAAGATACACAAAACAGTAACCACGTGCTCATGTAAATGAGGTCAAGAAAACAAAACTGTTAAACTATTGGTTTCATGGATTGATTAGATTAGCAGTGTTAAAATTAGATAAAATACAGTTCTAAGTGTTTAAGTCTGTAAATTTGTCTAGAAATTTATCAAGCTCTATTCAACATAATATGGTAACCGAATTATGAATAGATTGAAGAATGACCAAACTAGGCCATAGCAGAGCATTGCATGCAGTCATTATTAATTGATTGTTGATTTAGGGAATGTTCTTTGTGCTCCTTACCGGAGTCATATAGACGCTATTTTTCCTTCCTTAGACTTACATATTCCACTCCTCTTTTATTCCTGTCACTTTCTTTCCATTTATTATAGCAAGCACTTTGTGACTCCTGATTACATAATAATAATTATTATATTCAATTCATCATCTTTCTTTCCATTACCTTCTTCTAATTCGATGGAAGTTTGAAATTAACTCATCTAAAACGATTGATTCATATGTGAATCATTTCTCTAACTTTGTGAGGGTAAAAACAATTTCAATAAAATTAGTATGACCTGTTGCACAAGAGGTGATTCTCGTGGCCCAAGTGGTCTCGTGGATAACGCTTTGGCGTTTGAAACTATGGGCACTGGGTTCTAGCCTCAGTGGTGGGAACATCATCACTCACTGAGAAATGCAGGTACATCCAGCTGACGAGTCCCAAATAGGACGAAATGCGCGTTGTCCTGGATTCCATTGCTAGTCACCATCCACCAATTAAAAACAAATTATTCACAAATCTTGTGAATTAAAGAACTTTTCACCCTTTTTTTCTCTTTTTCTCCTTTTACCTGTGTAGACTTCATCGTGTTGGTGTTCTGGTACTATTCCTGCATGATTTATGCGATGTTTTCTTAGAATTGGCTAAAGTTAATATTTATCTACGTATTCGACACGGTAAATCTCATCCAATTCATATGACTATTGCCAATATCTTTTTTGCATTATTCTCTACTTCATGGTAAGTCACAGTATATATATATATATATATATATATATATATATATATATATATATATATGCGTTTCTAGTATAATAATAATTTGTTCTATAAAAGTAGACATATTTTATTAACGTATGTATTTATGCATACAAGATGGATTATTCCTCATTGTTCTTCGTTGATGACAGTGATTCCAAAAGTTTTGTTTATCCAATGATCTGATTGATTTCAAGGTGAATTACAAATTAAAATCAGTTATATATATATATATATAATCCTTGGAAATCAGAAATTACTGGAGAGCTGTTTTGTCCTAGTTTGGGACTCTTCAGAAACACGCGCACCCATGATAACCGACTCCATTAGGGATCGAACTTATAGCCTGAAAGTGTTAATCTGCCTTTTTCTTACTTTTTTTTTAACATGGACAACTGAGTTATGTTCTTATTTATTACATAAAATAAATAGAAACGAGTATCTTTACAACCAATAACGTAAATACTCTAATAAAGGGTATATTCAGAAATGAAGTTATTGTTCACTAGTGAATTAACTCAATTATTTCGTTGCAGCATTATGAAGGGTAGTGCTTTGTTTAAGTTGTCATGTAGATGGGATTCACAATATTTTACATGAGACTGCCAATGGCTACTGATAGAAATAGAAATTTCCGTTATGGAATATTGATTAGAACATACTTTGAAAAAACCTGAATGGAGAAGATTATATTATCCATAGGTATTGATGATATTACGATTAGGAATTCTGTTTCATAATTTACCATTTAGAAGATGGGGATTAAGTATTATGTATACAGAAGAAAACGGAGATGGACTGAACCTACGCCGAAGAAACCCTTGGGTAACATCACGCACCAGTCAGACCCTGAAATGGAAAGCGACTAGTTGGGCGTGGGTGTGAAGGTGACATGGATGAGATTGTGGAGCCAGCTAAAACGAAATGGCTACAGAAAACAGGGTGAAATTGAGATGTGCTTGATGGGAATCCCTCTCGTGGAACCCAAGGAAATGTTAACATTTTCTATAGTTTGGTTTGTCAGGGTTAGTTATGTTTTTACGAGTTGATCACGGAATGATATCAGTTAGAGAACCATTGGAAAACTAGGGAGTATTGGACAGCTGCTTCATCCTAGTTTGGGAATCATCATCACTACGCACCCGCTGGGACTTGAACCCAAGGCCTTCCGGTTACAAGGCAAGCTCGTATACCATTCAGCCACTGGGACCCGATTCAATGGCTCATGAACATAACTATCCCTTACAAACCAAATTATAGAAAGTTAATCTGATGCTCGCTAGTGACTTGCTACAAAATGGAGTTTCCTGGAGTTCTAGTAAGAAGTCGTGACCAGTGAGGTTCATCCAAATGTCACGTGTGTGGATGGATGTCCTGTCTATGACAATGGTTAGGGTCGTGCTAAATCATGAATTGGTAGAAGTTAGAATTCATGGGCTGACCACTGAATTGGGTCTCACTGGCTGAATAGTATACGAGCTAGCTTGCCTTATAACCGGAAGGTCCTGGGTTCTAACCCTGGTGGTGAGTGCGTACCACCGATGATTCCCAAACTAGGATGAAACAGCTGTCCAGTACTTCTTGGGGGTTTTCAATGGTTCTCTAACTGATATCAATCCGTGATCAGCTCGTAAAAGAAGTGGTAATAATAATCTCAGAATCTATTCCATATAGCTAATGTATAAAGTAATCTTTTTATGTCATGTTTCCGTTATTGAATTATAACACCATGTGGTATTATCACAAAACAATGTGATGACTTTCATTTCTGTTTTTGTACCTTTTCTTGGTTACGCTTTATATCTTTTTTGCTTTCATTGTGTTCATATTTCTTCTTGTGTTTTTTTCTTTTTATTCTAGGGTTGTTTTACGATTGTATTGGTATCCATTGAAAGTATTATATGCTACTTCATGGGGTGCTTATATTGCCTTAGTTGGACGAGAAAGTCGAGGTTTCCTCTTCTTTAATTCCATGCTATGGGGATTATTTCTAATGCATATATATTGGTTTACGGTATGCATTGCAATGATTCTTTAATTAACTGATTAATTAGTTCATTTATTTATTTGGCTTTTTATATCGTTCAGTTGACACTGTTAAAGTGTATATGTACGGCGTGTTAACATCAGTATGTTAATATACCCAAACACCACCTAAACACCGAACGATTGTTTTCAGCTAGACACAAATTTTGAGGAATAAAGTCTTGATGCCGATTGACATTTGTGTGGCGTGTCTTGTTCGCTCCTTATATTGCCGAAATATATATATATATATATATATATATATATATATATATCTTTAGCTTGTCTGTAAATTGGGTCTGTGTTTATTTTTATAGAACAGCTGATTCATTTTATTTTTTCATCTCACGTATTGATAAAATCTGTCTATCTTATCTGCGGCGTGTACAAATTGTCGTGTAAAGCAAATTTTTGCGTATAAGGCGGTGGATGGTGGAGAGAGGTGAGAACAAGTTATCGAGTAACTAGTCGCTTGTTATCTCTGATCTTTATCCTTTTATATTTATGCACGTTAATCATCCGTGTTACATTTAATGATGTGTCTATCGTACTGATTGATATCTATTCAAAATCAGTGTTAGGTACTTTAAAGTATGTCAAAGACCTATTGTTCCCTGATTGAATTACATGTTATTATACTATCCATTTTTGTAGAGATTTATTATCTAACAAAAGACTATCTGTTTTGTTAAACATTTTCCACTCTCAGATCTGGATGCCTCCACGTAGACAATTCACAAATTCCATTGAACAAGTCGTTGTGTAACTTAATTTCCCTAAGCCTCGATTATTACTGTGTTACTTTATTCTCATCCTGATTGACATCGCTGTAGTGTATTGAGGATTATTATCATTGTTATTCAAACAAAAACTTGGTATATTATGAGCACCCAGAGGTGCTCCAAGCAAAATCTCATAGTTAATGTGAGGGCTGGGTTACTGCCTGAACATCCGAGCCGAAGCAGTTGGCTGCCTCAAGAGAGGCTACACCCCACCCCCCAAGCCTTTGGGTTGAAGCGTGATCCACACAGGTAGCGTTGGGAACTGGCTCCCTTGGTTTCCGGTGACCAATATAAGCTTGTACACCATTCAATCCGTTCGAATCCTGGAGTCCGTGTACACTATAGATATGGAATCAGGGTTTCTTCAGCTCCCCTAGGTAGGCCAGCCTGTCCATCAATCCGGCTGTAAGCGCTAGACGTTCCCACTCACCGTTTCAGTCTTGTGAGGAACACCACTGTCACGTGGAAGCAGTGTATAGGAGATACTTGGCAGGGGCTATGAACGTGTGGTCACATGGAAGCATTTCAAGATTATTCCATTTGGCTGCTGTTTCGTCTGCAGCCTCATCTCCCCTAATAATGGGGAATACGTGCTGTGGTTCCACAGAACACTAAAGTAGTTACCAGTTACCCTAAAGCATAGAACTCGTTCATAAGAATCACTTGCAAACCCATGATATGGTAGATTTTGTTAAATAAATTCGCATGGCTTACGATTCGATTATTTCAGTTTCCGTATTCCACTTAGAATTCGAATAACATCAACTTATATATATATATATATATATATATATATATATATATGGAGTTAGTAGATTTTGTACTTTGTCATTTGTTCTTCCTAACTCAAAATCTCTGCATCATTAGAGAATATACTCCTTGATTTGATTAGTTAGTTTATGTGATTACATTTTACATGCGTAGTTTAGCTCACTACTTTTAACTAACAATTTCATCTCATATATACTCTGTATAGAGATATGTCGCTCTCAGTAGCGATGGGTTTTGTCACCCTTGCTTCTAACCTCCCCTCTTTCGGGCTCTTACTGCTGGTATGTAAACTCTGGCCGACAACTGCCATCTTGCCGTGGTTGTCGGGCTTGAATACCGCACTGACCCAACAAGCTAAACTGGCTGGAGCTCATGTCCCTGCAGGTCCTACCATGTCAGGAAGGTTGTTTGGATAGCGGGTTAAACTAAAAGCAGTTACCATGGGGTACATGGGATCCAGAATCTCCAATGGGATCAAATGGCGTATGAACCCATATGTGTCACTGGCAACCATGGGAATGCAGCTCATGGTGCTGCTCCGCTGTCTTGCGGACTAGACTCCAAATCAAAGGCTCGGTGGGCGGTCCTTTAAGAAAACTACCTGCTTTGGTCTGGACGTCCGGGCAGTATCTCAGCCCTCACACAACAAGCAAAATTCAGTGTGGCGCATCTTTCTTGGTGCCATATTGTACCAAGTTTTTAAATAATAAATAATATATAAGTTGTGGGCGTTGGCTGGGCTTCGAACCCAGATAAATGTCCAGTGTGACTGGTGAGCATCTTACCACCCCCACAGCTCTCTTCATCTCAGTAGATATAAAGTGGTTTACACATCTGTGATCCACCGGTTAATTGATCGGAGGTGTATATCAATGTACCACAGCTGTCTCTTGTTTCCATCCAGCATGATGGATTGCATTCTTTTTAAAGTGTCTCCTCATTGTATTTATTTTATTTTTATTTTCGATTACAGCTTGATTCCACACCGTATTTTGGTACAAATATAGAATTTTCAGCATGGATATCGGTAGCCCAAATTTCGCACGCCGACCATAGATATCAGGTGTGCGTCGGCGTGGGCTCGAACCCCGGACCATGTGCATGGTCGACGAGAATCCTAACCACTGTGCCATCGACGCACAGTAGGAGGTTTTCTTTTGTTTTTCAATGATTATGTTGATGGATAATTCTCTCAGAGAAAGTATCTGTAAATGTTATGTTCATGTACTTACTTATTTTATTAATTATTTTTGTTGCTTTTGCTGTTGTTGTCTTTTATTAGTTCATTTTGCGTATGGCTGTGCGACTATTGACCAGTCCTTTGGAAGCATGCGATGATGTACGCGAAGATGAGGGTTCCTCTAGTGATAATAATAAGAAGTCAGATAATGACGACAGTAATAATCTTAGTAATCATAAAACTGAAAATTCATTGAACACTCCAATAACAACAACTGCAACCAATACTACAAATTCATCTTCCTATATGAGATCAACAAAACTGATTGATGGGAATGAGTGTAGCAATAATAATATTAATGACATTAATAATAATATTGATGATAATAATAATAATAATAGTAAGCCATTGACCAATGGAAGTGCATGTGTATCAAAGAGGTCCAATTAGCATATACAAAGAGTGAGGTTATATATTTGTATGCATACATACCCTTGTTTATATAACTATCTGTCTATAAATATACACATATATATACACATGGTATATCATTATTTTAATATTACGGAATTGCGCAACCTGATACAAGCTATCTAGATTAGTTTGTTTTTTATTTTCTCTCATATCCCCCCTCCCACTTTGTAGCCTCTTATCGCCATTATTATTATTATTACTATCCAGAAGGTCTAAACTTGACTTGAATCTATTATTTCTAATTTCCCTGTCTTTGTGTGCATGTGTGTATGAACACTATCTTTGACATTTTCTGTGATCTGTTCATACACACACAAGCACACATACTCAACACCTAGGGGTTAGTGAGTTCTGTTTAGTTTGTGTGTATATGTGTGTATGTATGTACTTGGCCGCTTCTGGTGTTTCATTCCAATGTCATCTAGTTCCTCTCTCTCTCTCTCTGTTCAACCCCCATGTCTTCTGACCTTATCAAAGCACATTGAAGTTGTGCAAAATCCTACTTTCAGGGTTCATTACAATTCATACACAGTAATGTGAAGATGCCTACTCAGTATTATTATTATCATTATTTTTCCACTATTTGTAATTTGATGGTTTATCCTACCTAGAAGCACACGTCTGTGATTTCTACTTCTAATACACCTGTTCCCCCCCCGCCACTCCACCCCGTATTGCTGCATAATTTGGTAACTGACACGGTGGTGGTGGTGGTGGGGGGTTGAATGGGTATATATATGTATGTATATGTGACTCTATTTATTACGACATATCATTATCCTTTGATCACCAGTGTATGGTTTTCTTTGTCAGGGTTCATTACGGTTTAACTGTCTCTTCACCGTGAAGTGTAAATTTCTCTCCCTGCGTGCGCATGTGTGTGTGTGTGTGTAAATCAATGTAAGCATACAACATTCTCTGCTACGATAACTGTAAAAAGAAAGAGAGAGAGATAGAGAGAAGTGCGCGTAAAATGATGCATGTCATCAATGATATTCTATGGATCCCTATTTTTCTGACAATGGTCTGTAACTAATAGGAACCTTATTTTTTCTCTCTGACCTTCGTATGATTCCCTGTAATGTTCATTCCATTAGTGATTGGATGATATATACGTGATCTATACGCGTATTCTCTTTCTGCCTTTGTTTATTATTTTTGTTCTTGTATTTTGGATTGTTTTTCTTTTCTTAATTTTACCTTTCACTATTTTTTTGTTTATTTTTGTTTGTTTGTTTCTTTTCACTTTTCTAAGATATACATATGTATACATATCAAAATAAGTAAATAAACAATATTCTGTGAATTTTTCCACTATTTCTTCTTATCTTCTGTCTTGGCGTTCCGAGTGAAGAACACACAATAGACGGTTCAGGTTGAAAATCACAGCGTTATTGATGAAGTGACTAGGTTTTATAGCACATAGAACCTACCTAGCATAGAAGTGTGGCAGTTCAAGTTGTCACAAGCCACTTAGCTACAAAAAAAGAGAGAGCTACCTTGACATACGAGCGGATACTAGCTAAAAGTAATGTTCCTGTGAAGGTTTTAACATGCCACAAAAGTTGTTGGATGGTAAGTGATTAGACTAATAGCAGTTATTGCGTCATATCGTAATTCGTTTACGCTATATGTTTTGGAGAACTGTTAGCAAAGTTGTCCTGCTAGGGAATGTGGATATAAGGTGTTTCTCCTCGATGGTCAGCAAGCCGGCTATTCAGCCTTTTCCTCTCTGAAGATTTAGGGAAGAGGGTTAGAAAAGACAAACTCCGAAAAGTGTACATCCAGACTTGCTATGTAACCGGCGATAAGATCTTAGTACGAACACAAATCAATTCAAACAGACCGTGTGTGACAGATCTCAAGCAGTTGTTGTTTACGGCAGCGCGACATTGTTGTTCTTTCTGTTTCAGGTACTCCAAGAAAAAAATAACTTCCATAGAGTAAGCAGTCAGGAAGCAACATCAGCCCATCCAGTTAAAAAAAAAATCCAACCTTCCCTCTTTTAAGTGCTTACTGCGAACTAGTGTGAAATTTGGTGGTGAGGTTTCAGGGATGCGTCGGCTGCGTGAACTGGACCTCAACCATGTACTGTAGTTGGTGAGTATTCTACCAGTGAACTACCTATTCAACATTCTGTTAGCTTAATAAGATAAACAATATACATAATTCTCAGCGTAATTTACTGCATAATATTTTCATCATCCAGGATCTATGGTGCTGCTGTCTCGCTTGAAGCATAAACCTAATCACCTTAGATATATTTTTTATTTCATCTCTGAGAAATGCACACTGTTAGGAGTGAGGATATGCCGTGCTTTCATCTCCCTGTACGTGAATAGGCAGAACTGTGGAGGCGGACCGACTAGGATTTTGAATTTCCTCAGGTAGCAATCATATTAGATGTTACTATTTGGCTGCTTTAAGGGTACTAATATATTTTGAATTAGTTGTGTTCTCTGAGGTGGTTGATTTAATCGCAGAGATTTCATCGTCCACCTTCTGGACAATATCTTCAGAGCACGTTTTAGTGTAAAATGAATTGATTTAAATTCTTCATGAATGAATGATATAATTGTGTTTCCTGACAAAAACATCTTCGTGACTGTTTGTTGATTTACGACTCTATTGATCATATTTTTATTGACTTAGAATTTGAACTTTCTTGTCATGTGATTTACTTTTTATTAGCTGGTAAATTTAGTCTATCATAAATATGTTTATTAATCGCTGGCTGATTCACTTGAGAAGTATTCGGCACTAGTAACTAGTGTGATGCGTCTAGTCCTCTGATTGGTGGTCACATTACAACCTGACTGATAGAATTCAGTCTACACCAATCAGAGGACTAGACGCATCACACTAGTTACCAGTTTCGAATATCCACTACAGTCCTACAGGAGGTCAATCGCTAGCCCGAATAGCTCAGTGGTGACGTCTCTGACTGCAGCATTGGTTGACGCGGGTTCGAATCTCAGAAGCGACATGAGTTCCTTCAAGGTTGCAGATACGCCTTGCTGATGAGTGCCAACTAGCACGAAACCTAGGTCGAGCAAGGCTTCCTGCCGATTGCCTCCAACCACTTAATACCATCACTTGAGGAGTACCAGGCTTTAGTGTTTTCGCTATTTAAAATCTCTACATTATCCACCCCCTCCCAATCAAACTGGCGTCCATTACTATCTACATGCATTGATATGAAAGTACATTTATCATGCCTTTTTTATGCAGATAATTTTTTTCCCTTGGATTCGGATTCGAAGAGGATTCCCTTGTTTGACCTATGTAATGTCTGTTACAGTTGATACGATTTATCTTATATTACTATTATTATTATATCCTTTAATTCTTAGAGGAACATAGGGCTTCAGCTGCGCACCTCCATTGCCTTCGGTTTTCTGCCAACATTTTCACTCCTCTTCACATGACCTCCTCCAAGTCACCCTTGCACTGACGACCAACTCGCCGCTTCCCTTTCGAGTTCTACTCGAGCAATGGCTTGTCTAGTGATGTTACTTGATGGTTTCCTCAGAGTATGGCCAGCCAATCCATCTCCATTTCTTCCTGCCTATTTGTTTCGCAATCGGTTCCAGATTGGTTCGCTTAGCACGATTTATTTTGTAAATAGTAATAATTTTATCTTCTTTTCTTGCTGTTTTACACAGCAGGAATATCAGTGTTTGGTATAATATCCACGAAGAAAATACCTCACAGTAAGCTTTTATCTTTACCCCATTGTTAGACTGAAAACCAATTAAAATTTTGGGTGAGTGCATTTTGCACACCAAGGACATAATTATATGTAAGGCTGAATCATTCAAAAGCAAAAACAGGGATTATGAATCAACTAGAATTCGAATGCATTTATTCTAATGCGACAACATAGGCTATTGGATTTTGGCCCAAGTTGTCCGGCCTGTTAACCTAAAAGTCCTGGATTCGACCACCCGTATGGTACATGGGTGGACATTGCCGAAGAGTCCTGAACTGGGATGAAACTACTGTCAATTACTCTCCAGTTTTCAATGGTTCTCTAACTGACATCTATCCGTGTTGAAACTTGAAACAATAAGAAATAGAGAAAATTTGATGCGTTGTGTTGAATAGAAATTCATGTAGCCCAGTAATTCATGCAGAGGCCGCCAATTCTTTTCTATATTTAAGAATTTAGGTCAATTAGAATTTTTTGATTTCATTCATGATATTTCAGGAAGACATATTTAAGCATGTTGTGGATATGAATGTTCATCATAGTAACTGTACTGAGTGGCACCGCGCGCCAAACCGTCGAGTGGAACCCGAATGGGAAACGACTATTTAGGTTTCCGAAGGTGACATGGAGGAGATCGTTTGGAAAGGGGATGAGAGCTTATGGGCCATCTAAAGAGGACTACAGAGAAAAGGTCGAAATAGACATGTGCTATTGAAGCCTTTTGTTCCACTCGGATCCTAAGTGGAAATAATATGATAGTAAATGTACTGTTTTTACAAGCAATAAAGTTTTAATTTCATCACTATGTGATACTTAACAGAGACATTCGTACGCGCGATCAACTGACAATACTAAGAATCGCTGTAGTAACTTTGCATAATTGTGATAATCGGAATCCAAACATCTCCCGTATGCGAACTTGACTTGTAACCGGAATGTCCAGCGTTCAAAACCCAGGGGCGCATACCGCCGGTGAGTCCCAAGCTAGGACGAAACCCCTGTCCAGTACTCCCTGGTTTTCGATGGTTCTCTAACTGATATTAATCCGTGGCGTAACCTGAAACAAATACAATCCCTACAAACTAATTTTTTTTGAAAACAAACGATAATATTAAAAAATAATGTATGAAGTGATCAGGAGGTGGGACATGCATCCTACTTGGTTTAAAGAAGTCAAATCTGAATGACTCATCTTTGTGCCATGAATAATAATAATAATCAAGTGTTGGTTTGTAGGGATTTGATTGGTTTAAAGGATTTCGTCATGAGCTGACATTAGTTAGAGAACCACTAGGGAGTACTGGACAGCTGTTTCATCCTAGTTTGGGACTCTTCATCACTACGCACCCACCGGGGTTCGAACCCAGGACCTTCTGGTTACAAGGCGAGCTCGTACACCATTAAGCCACTGGTACCCGATCCAATGGCCCATGAATTCAAACTGCTGCCAACTCACGACATATCGCGACCCCTAGCCAATGTCTTCGGCGACTATTTGTCCTCACACCCGACCTGCTCAGTGGTATACGAGCTCGCCTTGTAACCAGAGGGTCCTGGGTTCGAATCCCGGTGTTTTCGTACTGATGAAGAGTCCCAAACTAGGACGAAACAGCTGTGCAGTACTCCCAGGTTTTCCAGTGGTTCTATAACTAATGTCAGCTCACGACATAAATCGATATTAGACGAGTTTGTGGTTGTAGTTTTAAAAAATTTTTAATCGCATAGTGTAATGCTAAAATGGGAACTGATGACTTGCAATAAGAACATGATGTTGAGTCATTCAAAGTGTAAGGAAAATGAATGAGCTAGAATTTTGAACAGGTTTGTTCTAATGTCTCTACCCACCCCCCCTGACCGCCACCATCAGACTAAAATGAATACGCACAAATTTCTTATCCTGCATAGCAATGGTGAGTCGTTATTTTCTTTATTTTAGCTATTGATTGTGGCTTCTGGATGCGTCGGTGGCACAGCGGTTAGGACTCTCGTCGACCATGCATATGGTCTGGGGTTCGAGCCTCCTCCGACGCACAACTGATATCTATGGTCGGCCAGCAAAATTTGGGCTACCGATATCACATGCTGAAATTTCCATACTTATACCGAAAATACGGTGTGGAATCAAGCTATAATCAAAAATAGAAAAAAAATAATAACTGAAGATGATAATCATTAATATGTTTCTAGGCTGTTCAAATACATTAGAATAAATCAAGCCAAATATTATTTCATTCATAAGCCTATATGTCTTTTGAATAGCTTACCAACATGACATTTATTTTCAGTCCTTCTGGATAGGTATTTCATAAATATTAAAGTTACAGGCAGTAAGGTGATAACCCCTAATCCATGGAATATCTTTATAATGAATCATGCTAAAAGTCACATACTACTGTTCAAGTATATAAAAAAAATTTTTTTCTTATGGCTGCTGAACATTCTCCCATGAAGCCACTTTATGAACAAAGAAAGTTTCAACTACTACTACTACTACTAGCTGGTTAATATGTTTAGTCTAGTCCCAACTGACGATAAATGAGAATGACTCATACAATGGTATTGAAATGTGTTATTTATTCTAGCGAATTGAGCAACATGTAAGTATAAATTTACTATGATAATAATATTCAAGTAGTCTCATAATGACTAGATCATGTAACAGTAGAGGCCGAGTAGTAGGCGTCTATCCAACATGCTGATATTTGATTGGTCGATTATCTGACTACTTAGTGGATGGTCAATATTTATGCTATTTGCATGCTGACTAATAGACGATCGAACTAGGCTATGGTCAGTCAGTTAGGCAGGCAGGCATAACAAATGTAGAATGAAATTAA